GATTGAACCAGACCAAGTAATGAATGATCTAATGAGGAAACAAATAATGACATTGATTTGACCAAGACAGTCAACTGAATTAAATTTAATTTATTTGTTGAAATTGAATCGATCAAATTGAAGTAAGCGATAGAATTACCCTAAGAATTATTAATGAAATGGATTTTAACCTCTGATTTTTGTAGTAGAATAGCTTTAAGTTGTACACAAGCGTCTGAATAATTTACAGGAAAAGCAGATATTATGGTATTATTGGATTTAATTGAAGGGTCATTGAACCTTACTGTTTTTGTATTATTTGACATGACAGTTGGCATGAATTCAAAAAGAAAAAACAAAAAAAAATTGAAACCTAAAAAAGTTTCAACTTGTCCGAAGTTCCCAACATACACTATTCTTTGGAAGTTCCCAACATACACTATTCTTTGTTTAATTGGAATTGTTGACTTGTAGTTGCTGTCTTGTAGTTGTTCTGATGTATTACAAGTTGTTTTCTTTCTATGATAAACTCAACATAAAGTGAATTAGTTTCAGGTTTTTGTCTCTACTCAATAGTTCAAGGAAGCTCAACATGTGATAAAACTGGACCTAATCACAGGAGTGTTTGAATAGTATCATATACAAGACGGTTTAATAGAGAGAAATGAGATTTTGAGGGTAATTGAGTAGGACTTGTTCTAGTATGTCAATTTGAAAATTTCATCATATCCTCCATGGCGCAATTGGCTAGCGCGTTCGACTGTTAATCGAGAGGTTGGTGGTTCAAGCCCACCTGGAGGAGAGAGCGGCCCAGTGGTCTAAGGGTTATGATCTTCGGTTTGGATCCGAAGGGCTCCCGGTTCGAGTCCGGGCTGGGCCCGCTTCTTTTGTCTTTTTGCTCCCCCATCACACTTCGTTGCTGACGACATCCATAGTTGCTGTTAATGGTTGTGGTCTTCTTGACCATTTCAAATCGACTCACCAACAAGAACATTCCTAATTTCGTGATACTTACTACGCGACCAATCAAAAAGTACCTGTATTATTCAATACATTTATTATCTATCACATATATTTCGACAACACAAAAGATATATCCTTCTAGAAAATGCATTATCGTTGTTGTATGACAATCCTCAACAAGCTTTGAAGGCAAAAGAGTATTATGTGGTGTCCAAGATTATGGGATCTGCTCTGACCGACGAGACGTACATGAACAACGAGAAAGTTGGAGGTATTCAAACAGATGATAGAGTGAATGCTTCTACGACAGGGTTTATGACTGATATACAGATTCGAGATTCCAAGGCTTTTACTGTTGATGAAAGCCTGAAGGCTTCATACACAGATGATGATTTATTTTGGAGTCTACTTTAAAGGACCATTATGTGATTGATACCACCATTATGTGATAGATAATAAATGTATTGAATTATACAGATACTTTTTGATTGTTCGCGTATAGTATCACGAAATTAGGAACGTTCTCGTTGGTGTTTCGATTTGAAATGGTCAAGAAGACCACAACCATTAACAGCAACTATGGATGTCGTCAGCAACGAAGTGTGATGGGGGAGCAAAAAGACAAAAGAAGCGGGCCCAGCCCGGACTCGAACCGGGAGCCCTTCGGATCCAAACCGAAGATCATAACCCTTAGACCACTGGGCCGCTCTCTCCTCCAGGTGGGCTTGAACCACCAACCTCTCGATTAACAGTCGAACGCGCTAGCCAATTGCGCCATGGAGGATATGATGAAATTTTCAAATTGACATACTAGAACAAGTCCTACTCAATTACCCTCAAAATCTCATTTCTCTCAACGATACCGTCTTATTAACCCTCTCTATTGACACTACACCTTCTATTCACAATCCTCTCATTAGCTTCAGCACATGTTGAGCTTCCTTCAACTATCTAGACTGATAACATGGCACGGTTCCATCAAAAAACAAACATCGGAAGAGACTGTCTATGGAAACTATCGGCCTTAAAGAGAAGGTAATGTAGTTGGTTGTGCACCGTTCAGTACATTTCATCTGTCTTAATACTTGCTGAACTTACCACCGTTTTAGATGGACATAGTCATCACTTTCTTTGATGTGTTAAAGTTTCTCTATAACTTGATATTCATAGCATCTATTGGAAGAGGCTGTCTATGGAAGCTTTCGGCCTTAAAGAGAGAATGCAATGTAGTTGGTTGTGCACCGATCAGTCGATAAATCTTCTGCGACTATTTGTCTCTTCTTTTATATGATTTTACACAATCTCAACTGTTTAATACAAACGGCTGTATCACTTAGCTGGATGTCTTATATATTAGTCAAGTCCCCATACACTTGCTAAGATTAACCAATAAATGGTGGAAAGTAATTCAAGTAAATAAATAGTTTTATAAATCTATTAGCCAACTACAATAGATTCAATAAAATGGATTAGCAGTTTTGTCATTAAGACCCAAGTTATCCAATTTCCAATTCTTCTCCAATGTCGCCAACTGACTGTAGTGATTGTAAGCAGTATTGTCCACAGATCCAGGTTGTACACCAGGTCCAATCAACAAACTGTAGATTCGATTGTTATCACGGTCGTTGCTAGGGTCATTCTCATCAAACGTTACCAAAAACAGGGTGTTTTTGAATAATGCATTAGACAAGATTGGATCAAAGAAACCTTGAAACCATCGCGATGCAGTACTGATATTCGTATCGTGGGCACTGTTTTTCAAATCTGGGGTAAAATACACATAATCTGCCACTTTTCCATTTCGAATATCACTATTCAATTGATCAGCATTCACAATCTTTGCACATCGTTTGGAATTTGCACTTATATTCTTGAATGAAATGAATGGATTATGTTTACGAACGTAAGCACCAGAACTGGAACCAGTGAAACAATTGCCAGGATACTGTTGTTGATAGGTAATCCAAGATTTGCCAGCAGATTCCAATAAATCAACCACAGATCGATCATTGAGGTCATAGTTGTCGTTGGTGGTGACACCTAGTCGACTACCTCCTACCATTGCGATATAGTTAGGTTGAGATGGATGCGTTCTACCATGATAGTTTGTCAATAATCGTCCTTTTGATGGTAATACTTTACCGAAATAGTTGTCTTTGATTGCTACATCGTAGTTTGTGTTTTCAAATACAACCACAAAGAAACGATCAAAGGTTGATGTGGGAGCACTTGATACCACTGATAACAGCAA